GTTGGATTGACTTCAATTTTGATGAGAGGTGAGTAGGAGGTGTACCAATAATGAATATACAACAAAAGTATGAAAGTCGTTAGAACTTGGAAAGATAGCGGTGGCTGAAATAAAAAGTGTCACACCATGTTACAGTTTTGCTCGTCACTGTATGTATGAAATTTCTTATGTGCACCCTCCACACAGACCCCAATCACCCCTGAAAATTTCTTTGATATCGGGCAAGCCGTCTAGGAGGAGTATGCGAACAGGAAGTTTTGCCACTTAATTTTATATATATAGATTTAGAATTTTGCTTGATAAATTCACAAAATTTACGTTTTTCATATAAATATAATCTTACAATGGACCTTTTTTTTAATTTAAACTTACATTTAAGAAAACTGCATTCAGTGCTATAATTACGATTTGAGTTTTCCAGTTTATAAAACACAAGCGTTAATTATGTACTTAACTATTGATATTATTCGTCATTAAGCATGAATGTCAGCATACATTAAAGATGGATATTATACTTAACCTACATTTTGTTCATAAATAACACATAACACATGCTCGAAAAGAACTTTTTCTAATCATGAGGCGAAATTGCCCACAGTAAGTGTTGCCGTGCGCGCAAAACGAAAGCGCTGCACACAACCCAAAAGTACTCCTCGAGGACCAAATGGTGAAAAACTGCGAAAAGGTTTATTACTGTATATACTGTGATTTAATTTCTTTTTTTACATCAAGGCGGACAATATGCCTGTGATGCATGTAACATATGCGCACACTTGAATACACCAAAATATATGTATATAGTGCGATTGTACCTACAAAGATGCAACACATGGACACAAGCGTATGCACATACATACATACATGTATAGATATGCGTGTTGCTGTTCATAAGTAGATATGAACAATGTGAGTTTCTTGTAGCATTATGATTTCTGGTTTATGTCTGGAAACCAATAATTCCAGCGCATGTTTGTTGTTGATAAATCCTTGTATATTCCACTGTAGTATCAAGAAGTTGAATCCTATATTCATATTTCAAATACAGAGTAACAGGTCTATTCTGCACGTTACCGATGATTTTGTAACCGGAAAATTTTATTACCAAAAAATGTTACCAGTTCTTGTCACCGCGATTCTAGGTACGTTGGTAATGCAGTGAAAATATTCAGCAATTCAGCTATGAAGATTTGTGGAAATTCCTGTATTGCATATTTCACGGGGCAATATTTTGTTACTGGCTTATGAGATGGTAACCAAATTTACCGATTACAAGAGAGTACAGAATGCGAAAAAGGTTTAAAAATTGACAGACACTGTAATTACCGGTTACAAAATTTATGTTACCAGCGCAGAATAGACCTGGGCCCTTACTCTGTAGTTCGATTCGAAAGAAAATTTGTTCGCTTTCGAACGATTGGTACTCTGAAAGCACCTTTCGAGTAACATTCGTTCGATGTTCGAATTCCATTCTGTTCCCTTCGAATTTTCTTTATCCCCTTTCGAATTTTCGAAAATTTGGTACTCCCTGCATCGAAAGCAAATGTCAAAATGGTGGAATTGTAGAAAATTCTATTCGACAGCAACCAAGCACTCGGACGTCCGCAAAAATGTAAGTAATTGCAATAATATTTGTGTTATAACGTTTTACAATATGGTACACAAAAACATAATAAATTTGTTACCTTTTACCATTCAGTGAAGTTATGAGTTGGAGGTCCGCATGAATTAAGCTCATTTTCTAGCCTCTTCCACAGATTACACTGGTCGACGGCCAAAATTTACCAGAAACGCCGTTATGAAATTCTTATGTAAAATCACCCCCTGATTCCGAAAATCAAGGTTATTTTTAATTTTATGGTACCGT